ATGCAAACATCAGAAACCTCAAAACTGCAGCAGCTTGTAGAGAACATCGATAAGAAGATGACAGATCCAAATCAATGTGTCATTTGTCACCGTGTGCTTAGTTGTCAGAGCGCTCTCAAGATGCATTACAGAACCCATACAGGAGAAAGACCATTTAAATGCAAAATTTGTGGACGTGCATTTACTACAAAAGGCAATCTAAAAACACATTTTGGAGTTCATCGAGCGAAGCCACCACTTAGAGTACAGCACTCGTGTCCCATTTGTCAGAAGAAATTTACAAATGCTGTTGTTCTTCAACAGCATATTCGTATGCACATGGGTGGGCAGATTCCAAACACACCATTACCAGAGGGCTTCCAAGATGCCATGGACTCAGAGCTTTCCTTTGATGAAAAGAATGTGGAAACGCTGAGCAACTATGATGATGAGGTTGATGAAAACTCCATGGAAGAGGACCCAGAGTTAAAAGACAATGCAAGTGACTCATCCAAACCACTTATACCTTACACTGGGTCATGTTCACCATCACCCCCCTCTGTAATCTCTAGCATTGCTGCTCTGGAGAATCAAATGAAAATGATTGATTCTGTCATGAACTGTCAACAGCTAACCAATCTAAAAACTATAGAAAATGGGTCAGGGGAAAGTGACCATCTGAGCAATGATTCCTCATCAGCCATTGGAGATCTGGAGAGCCAGAGTGCAGGGAGTCCTGCGATGTCTGAATCTTCTTCATCCATGCAAGCTTTGTCTCCCGAAAACAGCAACTGTGAAAGTTTTAGATCAAAATCCCCAGGCCTTAGTAACCAGGAAGAACCACACGAAATACAATTAAAGACAGAAAAACCTGACAGCCCTCCACCACCTACTGTAGAAAATGGAGGTGCACTGGATCTGACAGCCACCAATCCAGGAAGGCCAATCATCAAAGAAGAATCTCCTTTTAGCCTGCTGTTCCTGAACAGAGAACGTGGTAAGTTTAAAAGTACTGTTTGTAATATCTGTGGCAAGCCTTTTGCTTGTAAGAGTGCATTGGAAATTCACTACCGCAGCCATACTAAAGAACGTCCGTTTGTATGTACAATCTGCAATCGCGGGTGTTCCACTATGGGTAATTTAAAACAGCACTTACTGACACACAAATTAAAAGAGCTGCCTTCTCAGTTATTTGAACCCAACTTTACTCTAGGTCCCAGCCAAAGTACTCCTAGCCTGGTCACCAGCACTGCGCCTACCATGATCAAAATGGAAGTGAATGGTCACAGCAAGCCGATCTCAATGGGTGAGGTTCCATCTCTTCCAGCTGGAATCCAGGTTCCTGCTGCACCACAGACAGTGATGAGCCCAGGCATCACTCCTATGCTGGCACCCCCACCTCGTCGAACTCCCAAACAACACAATTGTCAATCGTGTGGGAAGACCTTCTCCTCAGCAAGTGCACTACAGATACATGAACGCACCCATACTGGTGAAAAGCCATTTGGTTGCACAATCTGTGGTAGAGCTTTTACCACAAAAGGGAATCTTAAGGTAAGAAGGAAACTCTTCAGTCTCAGAACAAAATTGTAAGGGTGTGAGTGTTTAATGATGCGTAGGTTCTGTTTTTCTGGTGTGAAAAATAATTATGCTTGCATTTGCAATGTCCTCACATTATACATTCTGAACCAACTGTAAGAGAAATGTTCTGTGGGTACACACTCCAAAAATCGGTTTTGAGGAGTTTTGCATGTATGTACAAAGTAGCCCATATTATAGAGCTTTTTTTTTTGAGATTTGTGTCTGTTGCATTTCAGTAATTTAAGAGCTCTTGCATTTATCATAGAAGGATAGCTTGGAATAACTTTGATATTAAAAGGGTGCATATAATTTTTTTTTTAATCCAGAAAATTATCAATTCAATGAAGTTAATAGCTTTTGTAAGCCAGTATTATGTAGAACCAGTTTCTTCTTTCAGGAGTGGTTGTAGATTCCCATATAATTGTATTTTACAGAACCACCATAGTTATGATGGCCATCTTGTTCAAAAAAATAAAAAATCTGGTCACCTCAGATTATACGGAGACCCATTGCCACCTGATGTTCACCAATGTAACATATTAGTGTACCCAGCTCCGGAGTTACCAAGTGCTCAAAGCAATGATCTTGTATGTTCTGATTTGCATATAATATAGTAACAAAGCTGAATTTTGAACAGATGCAAAATAAATGTTTTAAAAGTAGAATTACAGCATTATCTCATGACAATTTAGGTAAACATAAAAAGATAAGAGGCAGCAAAGAAGAAACCCCTTGATTGACGTTAGCCTTAATTAAAGATAGTCATCACTAACTGCAAGCCTGTGCATGATTACACTGAAGTAAGCCTCACTATTTTCAGTAGGATTTACTCTTAGGTAAATGTGCACAGGATTGCAGCCTTAATCCACTTGAAAACAACACCATTTAAATTAGTTGTGACCATCTTGAACCTTTCATTTCAGGGGTGTTTAGTCATGATTGGAACCATTAACAAACACGGCTTGCATCAAAAATCTTGCTGCCTGAGCATGTGTGTTTAAGAGGGTGAGACTTGCTAGTTCTCTGTAGCTTCCAGGGCTCACCAAAAAGCCACTGTGGAGGATTCACCAGCCACATAGATAGAGGGAATCTGTCTGTCTGTCTGTCTGTCTCACTCACTCACTCACTCACTCACTCACTCACTCACATACACATCTTTCTGCTCACACGGTAGAGTCTTTCGATCCAGCCGTTATGCCAAGGCGGGGGGGGGGGATATAAGATGATCGCTAGAAACCTAAGCAAAATTAAATGTTAGGAAACTAAGGCTGCAATCACATGCCCAATTGCAAAAGACTCAGTGTTAAATTGAGAGAGTGAGAATTACAGTGTGAGGAGTTAAAAGGATTCTAGGATCCTGTAAGCCTAGTTATGTTTTTAATGCAATTTTTGCTTCTATCTTTATTTGTCACGGGAACGCTGCACATTGCTTTTTGCTTATCATTGGTCAAAGTATAGATGATTTGTAAGTCCCTTGTTGTTGAAATCATTATCCCTAAATTTTATGTGACTCTTAGGTTGACTTCTAAAAATCCCTGCATATACTATGTAGTTTAAACTTGCATATTTGCCAACCTTTTTTGTTTGTTTGTTTGTTTGTTTGTTTTCCCCCAAAAGGTTCACATGGGAACTCATATGTGGAATAATGCCCCAGCACGCCGTGGCCGTCGACTGTCTGTGGAAAACCCCATGGCTTTGTTAGGTGGTGATGCTCTGAAGTTTTCAGAAATGTTCCAAAAGGATTTGGCAGCTCGGGCAATGAATGTTGACCCAAGTTTTTGGAACCAATATGCTGCTGCTATTACTAATGGACTTGCAATGAAGAACAATGAAATTTCTGTCATACAGAATGGAGGCATTCCCCAGCTCCCAGTAAGTTTAGGCGGAAGTGCTATTCCGTCTTTAAGTAATATTACCAGTGGAATGGACAAAGCTCGTACCGGCAATAGCCCTCCCATCATTGGTTTGGACAAAGCGAGTTCTGAAACTGGAGCCAATCGCCCATTCACAAGGTTTATTGAGGATAATAAAGAGATTGGCATAAATTAAAAGAATTCAGTACAAGTAACTGTTGGACCACTACTCAACACAACATTTGTTCTTTCATGTACAGTTTTGGAAGTTAAGCATTAGTTTCCTGACCTAATTGCCTAGGTTCCCTTTACGATTTTATCCCATAGCAGAAATACATAATTTTGTGTCTTCTGAAAAGTTGTCTTGCAAGATTTGCATGGTACTACTTTCAACAGTGAGCTGACTGTTAGTGAGAATTTTTGGAAACTTTTTTTAAAATTTAAGTAATGATAATTCATTGGATATTTGCATTAGGGACTGAGGGAGGCTAAATTCATTTCACTTTTTGTTACTTAACAGCAAAAAATGCCATTAATTGAGTAAAAGGGGCTTCACAATGGCATTTCTGTCCAGCTCCTTCTTTGCTGGTTTTGTTTCATGTAGCTAGAAACTTGAACTATGTTTTTAGAAATCCTCTAACATTCAATAAGTGATTTAGTACCCTAATGCTGTGTATGATTACAGTATTCTTGTCTGTAGTATTTATAATGTAAAGATAATGCGGGTAACAGACAATATACTAGCCCCATCCTTAAATGAAGCTTTTGTACTACAAAATACACCTGGCTATGTGATTTTTTTTTTTAAGCAAGTTTTGTTTATTATAAATAAGTGGTTTATTTCAATGCAGGCAAAATTGTGAAGTTTTATTGGGAAAGATAGCATGCTTTTCATGTGCAAGTACCTGTCAGTAACAAACCATTTTAATTTAAATATTTGTAGCTGCTATGTGGACAGTTGTTCTATTAAATGAAAAAAATGTAGTGTGGACTTCAGTTCATGGTTGGAAAACAAGTTACAGACAAACCTTATCACCATAGGTTATTCACAACATTATAAACGGTTGTGAGTAAAAACATTTCATGTTATCAAAGGCTGTACAATAAAAAGGCAGTGTTTGTATAATGTGGTTGCAAACTCTTAATTTATACTATTGCACTTTTAGTATTTTATATTTAGGGAGGTTTGTCTATAATTTGAATCTGAACAGAGATGTAACTATTTTATAAATAGTACCTTGACTTGAGAAAAAATTGGGGGGGTATTTTGTTGTGTTTATCTTTAAGGTCAAACAGTATGAGAGATCTATGCTCCTTTAAACAGGAAAGCCACTAAGAACTGTCAGATTCTTGGGTAGAACGGGGCCTGCCATTTCTTAAACTGAAATGATTCATTTAACTTTTCTATAAGCCCACCCTCCAACAGACCTTTGATATGTTAATCTTAGGCTGTGATATCAGTGCAAGCCTAGGAGAGGCTAAAGAAAACATTGTGTAGGCTTAATTTTGCTGTAATCTGTTCTGTCTCTTTCACTCCCACCCACAAGCAAGATGCTGACTGCTTAATAGCACTGGTATGTAAAGCAAAACAGAGAACAGAAATATTAAGTAACTTGAACATGAATTCCCAAGTCTTGCTGATTTTGTTTTAAATATTCTGAAATTTACTACAAAGCACAATGTATTCTGGTGACTCAAGTATAATTTGCAGTTTTTTAAGCATTGCTTTAAAATTGTGACTAAAGGGAATGTTTCCACTCTTAAGCTAGGGTGCTGGTGAGGCTGAGGGGCGTAATCAAAACTTGAACAGTAAATGTTTTGTGTACTACCTCATTTTTGTGCATTACAAACATGGTGGAGTCTTGACACTATGAACTTCCGTCCAACAAAATTGTTCAAGGGACATTATGGGTAGCTGGGAAGCAGCACAAGATGTTTTATGGCCCTGAAGAAAGAATCAGACAGTGAAGTCTTCTCAGTTAGAGACTGGAGGAAAAAAAAAATAGGACAATCTCTTTCTTGTGCAACAAAAAAGCCCACATTACTGTAAGAGGATGGACTGTTTCTGCCATCGTGTCATTGAAATGAAAAGTTTGAAAGACTTATTAGTGGTTTGTTTCTGTTTTGAAATGAACAATGAACTATTACAGCTCTGTTTTCTACAGCAATGATACACAGAATATATATGTGCACATATACGTGCATATCAAATATATATGTAAGTATATGTGTGTGTATATAGATATATAGATTATATATATATATATATATATATAATATAGAAAATAAAACATCCTTAAACTAGAACACCTACCATCAGTGACCACCATTTGTGGGCTATTTGGGGTGTTTCCAAATTGGGGGGGGGGGAGAAAACTGAGGTGCCTTAATGTTGCTGTTATTTCAGCAAATGAATGTTTTTTATTTATCTGTGTCCATTTCTGGTGTGAATTTTTTGTTTTGTTTAGTATTTGGTACCATGTAGTGTTATCTCTTCTCCCTAAAGGATGTGCATAATTAAAAAAAAAAGCGATGTAAAGTGTTGTAAATAAGATGGCTGATGAAGGTACAGTAAGACTGACCCCATTTTGTATTCAGGGTTAGGTCATTCCTCTCTGCATGGTGAAGAGAGACACTATTTTTATACTGTGATACCATGTAGGGTTAGGAGCCTCCCTGAACCAGCTGGGAATTGTTACCTAGATCCAATATTTTTTATTATTAAATCTTGTTGGCTTGACACATCTACTGATTGAAATGGATGTCTTAGTCTAGGTTACTATTTTTGTCATATGGAATTGAATAAAATGCAGGATGTAATATTATTTCTGAATTGTGTTCCATGATTATTCTAATAATGTAGCGAGATGTGAGAATGAAATTGATGTCAGTGGATTTTAATTGTCAAACATGAAACTTTAAAAAAGGCTGTTACTTTGTATTCAAACAAACACTCTTTGCACATATCGCAGTTGCTCTTTGAGGGGGGAAAACTGAAAAGCCTTATAAACATTGCTGCACTAGTAACAAAAGAAAACTGCATCCGAATGATTGAGCTCTGAAGTAATCCTCTTGCTGTCTCCCTTGAAAGCAATAGTTCTATTAAATTCTATTAAATTCAATTTACACGAACTACGCTGCATATTTATTCTCAATGGCTGTGATCCAGAGATTCAATGATGCACACACAATAGGTAGTGCACATCCAGATTTCCCCCCCCCTACTGTTTTCAATAAAGTCTTAATCATTTCTGAACTGCGGCTACTGCTGAAGCAAAAACTGCAAGGTACACATAGATTTCACCTGCCTGGATTTATGAATCCAGTAACTAACAGAAAAGCATACTACATTCCTTGTTCTTTTATTATATCTAGTAGCAGAATTACTATATGTTAAAAATCTAATGTTTTATACATTAGTCAAAGAAATAATTTGTGCTTACACATCTTAAAGGATGTAAATAGAGCAATTGGTTGCAAAGGGGCTTCACTAACACAAGTGGATCAGCATTCTCAGAGCACTACACCAGTGCAAATTCCCTTGAAATAAATGTTCTTGCACCAATGCAGCAATTTAACATTCACCTTTTAAAATTTGGGCTTAAACCTTGTGTGGTAGTATATAATTTGAGTAAAGACCTGTAGTATCAACAAATTGAAACAGAAACGTGTGCTTTTTCAACATTGAGTTTATGACAAATGTGCCACTCGTACTGACAAGAATGCCTGAAGTTGGCTTTAAGGTTGCAACACTAAACTGTAAGATTTGGTGATGCTGGCTACACATCACATGTCAGAAAGCTGTTGTGGGTAGAGATGAAAGCTCGATGAGAATGCATTATTGGCCATGGGAGACAAAAATATGACAAGAACTGCAGATGCGCTGACTTTGAAAGAAAATCACTCCTAAGATTTAGTTTTTGCTTGCTGTTGACTAAAAGGTGATGTTGGAAGTACATTTTTTCCTAATGTTGAATATATATGAGAAATCTTTAAAAACCATATGCATTATATTAGTCATCTTAAAAACCTCAAATTCTACTGTTCATGAGTTCTCTCATTTCACAATTTAAATTGTGCTCTTCTGCGTCATTTTTGGCCTTAGTTTGCAAAAGTCACAGAACATATTTTATGTTCTTTTTAATTAACTTCATTCTGTGCCCCCTTGATAGTACTGCAAGTTTTTTCTTTTTATTTGTGCTCATAAATACTATAACAAATCACTACCAAACAGGTATGCAGTACATCACTACCAAATATCTATGCAGTACTTTAGGAAACTTGCCCTCTGTGGATTCTGCCCACTCCCTGCCTCTCACTTAGCTATTTGCACAGTGCAACACTCGTGTTGAAAATAGCAGCAAAAACATTTTCATCAACTCTCAGATTTAAACAGGTCTCAGCCCTTTAAATAAACACAGCGGCTCATGATACTAGTTTGAGTAACTCATTTCGTCTCACTGCTGGTTCCAGAGGCTATTCTAGACTATGCTCAAGTTTGTCCTCTAGAGTTGTGCCATTTATTTACAAAATGACATCTCTAGTCCACTTTTCCCACAGTTTATAGCATCTCACTATAACCCTAGAAGTTAATCACTATACAATGAATATCCTAAATTACTTTATTTTTTAAAAGGTTTTAAAATTATTTAAAAGACAGCAGCTTATCTCTAAAAGCATAATCAGCCAGTACATAGAAGGCAAAAATAATTGAGCTTTGGGAAGGCCAACAGAAACAGTGATGTTTTCTCCTGGTGCCCAAATGTCATCTTCTGCCTTTCCTCAGATGGCTCAGTAAGATTCAGAAGTTCCTCTCCTGAAGTTCTTCATGCATTATTTGAAACTTGGCTACTTCTAAGACTTTTTCACCTTGACAATAATATATTAAGACTAGAAAAGTCAACAGGTATTTTATTACTAAGATGCTTATAAAGTTTATAATCTTAATTATGACATGAGAAGTTATATCACTATAGTATATGGTTCTGAGAATCTCTTGTACCAACATCTACTACTATGAACAGCCTCAAAAGATTTGAGGTAGGAATGTGTACACACTAGAACAGGCATTTTCACTTAGTCTTTAACTGCCATGCAGGAGACATTTTCTTTGTTTTTAGCATTTAGTAATTACAAGTCCATTGGAAATGTTAGCAGAAATGGCCAATGTAAAACCAGCAAAATAATACTATAGAG